AAACGTGCCAACTAATAAAAAACTGAGGTAGTATAATTGCTGCTCACCATAGATCTAATGGTTCTTTGGTTTTTCGAAATTTTTTTGCAATAAGGGTTTCAATTCGATTTCACAACAAGTATATATATATGAATTCTTAGATTGATAAAATGAAGATAAATCCGTGATTGTTGACCTATAATTAAAGTTAGCCAATAGGTATAATGATGGATTATGCCGGGAAAATTGAATTAAAGAAGACAATTTTTTCCATCACAAATCCTTGGTTCGATCCATAAAACTATTCGATTTTTGTATCATATTGTTTTGTGTTTAGTAATAAGTGGGTCAATAACCTAAATAACTGGATTTATTCGTTTATTTGCACGATCCAAATTTGTTTTATTGTTTCATGTACCAAGAAGATAAAATTAAAATTATCACCTTTATTTAAAAACATAAAGATTAATGTCAATGACGGACTAATCCAACTTGGCAATAATAATAATAAAGGTCAAACTCTTTTATTATAAAAAGAAAGTCAGTGATATTTCAAACAAATGGGTAATTAAGGAATTGTTTCTCAATGGAGGTTTACACTAAGTGTTACCGGTCCACCAAAGTTCTCGTTGATTCTTGTTCAACCATGGAGCTCGGCAATCATAAACAGATTTTCTAACTTTTTCCGAGTGTACCACCAAGTATTTAATGTGATTGAGGCGAGTCTTTGGGGGTTTAAATTAGGGAGAACTGGGCTCACTTCTTCAATGCGTAAATTGATGCAAGTGTTCTAAGTTTTGGTGCGATTTATATTGTTCAATTGTTTAAGTAAGCTTGGGAATGATTAATTTTGTTATTGGGATTTTTTCATCAACTGAACATTTTGTTTGTAAAATATTGTGTTTGGACAGGTGTTTTGCATAATCTACACCTCGTTGAGATTCTCGACGCGTTGTTTGATTAGATTATGATTTGTTGCATTTAACTCTTAATTTGCAATTCTTACCATTAGCATCCGTTTAAAATTCTTCAAATAAGTTGTAAAAAATGGACACTTAAATTTAAATGTGGGAAAAATTATAAAATAAAAAAAAAAAAACAAAAAAAAAAACTAACAAACGTCAGAAATTTAATAATATAAGGATAGTGATGGATTAGGGAGATTGTGTGTAGGTGGAAACTCGATCATAATATGTATGAGAGCGGACACTTGTAGATAAATTTTCTCTAAGCATAATGTATGGAGTAATACTCATAAAGTGTAACGTATCGGAGTATTGGAGGATATGTAGGTAGATACATGCTCTCTAATAATGCACAACACCACTATTTATAAGTGATGTATGGAGGTGGAAAAAGTGTGTGGAAAATTTAACACACGTGCTCTTTAAATTCTCCACGTAAATCTAGAATCTTCACCATTTATTACCATTTGTAGATTCTTCCATAATTCTCCATGAATTTCTAAATATAGAGTTTTTCTAGAAATCGTGAGATATAATAATTTGGGCTATGGAATTTGGGCCTTCAATACATTTTTATGCTCATGTTTCATTCTTAGTTTGTTCTGTGCTTCAATTTTGTTATTAAATCTTTCTGCATTTAGCCATAAATTTTAGTGTTTGTTTGTGTGATTCTTTTAGATTTCAAATTATTGATCTTCAGAGATTATTTGAGAAAATACAAGTTTATCTTCGTGATAAATAAAAATCGTTTATCTAGTGGCATTTTCGTAAACAAATCAACAAAACATCCCAGTAAGACATTTTCGTAAATAAGTCAACAACATTTATTAAAATACAGGTCCCACAAATCTTTATTTTCCGTTCCTAAAAAAAAATCTTTATTTTCCATTATTAGCCCTGAAGGCGGATGCATGATGCTCCGTGCATCCGAATTCTTCTTTAAAAAAGGCGGAATGAACATATAGTTATAATGTAATGAACATATAGTTGTTTTATAAAGTACATATAGCTATTTTATAAAGAAACATCACATGTAGTTGTTTTGTAATGAACATATTATTGTTTTGTAAAGAACATATAGCTATTTAAAAAAAAAAAACACTAAACAAAAAAAAAAAAAAAAAAAAACCATTCAGCTTTATGTTCTTTATATATGTATCTAAATAACATCCGTAATATTAATAAAAAAACATGATAATATAACGGAGTAAATATTATAAATACGACATTTTGACAATCAAACAACATGGAGATAAAGAACATTATTTATAAGCATGTTCCTTTTACTCTAGGTATATGTTTATTATATTTTAATAGTATGTTCTTTTCACTCTAGATATTTGTTCATTACATTATAATAGGATGTTCTTTTCATTGTAACTATATATATGTTCATTACATTTCTATAATATGTTCATTCCGCTTTGTAGAATATGAAAAATAATGTTTTAATGTACATTGTATTATTTTGATCTACAACTTTTTTCTGAATTTGTTTATTTGCTTGCTTTCTACAAAATGTAATAATAGGTCAGTCTTCTTCAAAAACTTTATATTGTTTCTCATTGCAACACCAAAACCACATAAATCACAAATTAATTCTATATATATATATATATATATATATATATATATATATATATATATATGTGGGGGAGGCTCTCGTGAGAATTTTTCTTATGTGAGAACACTCTTTATGTTCTAAATTTTTACTCGTATATTCTAAATTTTAAATCTAATGTTCTAAACTTTTCCTTAGGTGATCTAAATTAAATCAAATGTTCTAATTTATTACTCACATGTTCTAAACCATAAATTAGTTAAGTTTAATATCATAAATTTTAAATAACTTGTTCCAAAATTTTAACTTATATGTTCTAAATTTTAAAATGTGTGTTCTAAGATTTTTAATTATATGTTCCAGATTTTAAAGCGTATGTTCTATTTTTTTTACTCATATGTTCTAAATTTTTTACTCACACTTTCTATATTCTATATCAGTTTGTTCTAAATTTTTATTCACATATTCATAATCTTAAATCAGATGTTCTAAATTTTACTCATATGTTTAAAATTTCATAAAGCATATTTTATAAATTTTTAATCACTTGTTCTAATTCTTAAATCAAATGTTCTAAACATATTACTCACATAGATGTTCTAAATTATTACTCAGATGTTCTAAATTTTAATTTCAGACACATGTTCTAAATTTTTATTCGTATGTTCTAAGCTTTTACTCACATGTTCTAAATTTAAAATCAGTTCTCATATAAGTATGAATTCTCACATATGGACCTATGTGAGAATTCATACTTATATGAGAACTGATTTTAAATTTAGAACATGTGAGTTAAATTTTAGAACATGTGAGTTAAAATTTAGAACATGCGAGCTAAAATTTAGAACATGTGACTTAAATTAAAATTTTGAACATATGAGTAATAATTTAGAACATTTATGTTAGTAATATATTTAGAACATCTGATTTAAGAATTAGAACAAGTGATTAAAAATTTATAAAATTTGCTTTATGAAATTTTAAACATATGAGTAAAATTTAGACATCTGATTTAAGATTATGAAACATGTGAATAAAAATTTAGAACAAATTGATATAGAATATAGAAAGTGTGAGTAAAGAATTTAGAACATACGAGTAAAAAAATAGAACACACGTTTTAAAATTTAGAACATATAAGTTAAAATTTTGGAACAAGTTATTTAAAATTTATGACATCAAACTTAATTAATTTATGGTTTAGAACATGTGAGTACTAAATTAGAATATTTAATTTATTTTAGAACACTTAAAGAAAAGTTTAGAACATCATATTTAAAATTTAGAACATACGAGTAAAAATTTAGAACATAAAGAGTGTTCTCACATAAGAAAAATTCTCACATAAGAAAATTTCTCACGAGAGCCTTTCCCTATATATATATATATATATATATATATATATATATATATATATATATATATTATATATATATATATATATATATATATATATATATATATATATATATATATATATATATATATATATATATATATATATATATATATATATATATTTGTAATACCCCTCATGATTGCTTTAAAAGGATTTGATATACTACTCATATCAACAAGATGCATCTTCCTTTTAAGGAGCTCATTTGCTAAGATACTCCACAGTTAAGCGTGCTTGGCTGGGAGTAGTCTCGGGATGGTTTGTGAGGACAGTTGTTGGCCCTTAATGCGCATTTCGTGGCAATAAGCCCCTCCTTAATTTGTTTGGGGTCGGGGTGTTACATATATAACCAAAAATTACAATTTTCAACCAAATTTATAAAAAAAACAAACACTTCAACTCACAATAAACAAGTATGAATGTCAAATCTTATCTTACCTTTCATTTTTTGTCCGTCATCTTGAACAAATTTAAGCTCAACATTTCAAAAATTTTGAAGTTTTGCTTAGGATTTGAGGAACTTAAATGGCTTTGAAATTTTTATAGAGAGAAACTGAACTTTTAATGTGTTGTAATTAATGAATGGTAAAAGAATAATTACTACTTATGTATTCCTTTTTTTACAAAACTGATGCACAAAAAACTCGCGTACTTTAGAAGTAAACACTATGTTCTTTTCTATAGTAATGTACATTAGGATTACAGGATACAACATGATGTACATTCCGCCTTTTTTTTTAAAGCGTCGTTTCGATAGTGCATCTGCCTGCAGGATCCACGCCTCCATAAATACATATTAGTTCTTTTGTCAAATATCATCAAACGGACTCATTATCTTCAGGTGAAAATCCTTATCTTGGATTTTGTTTCAATGGTGGAATTTAGTTATGGGTTTCAGATTTAGTTTTTAGTTATGGGTTTCAGATTTGGTTTTTAATTATGGGTTTCAGATTTAGTTCTGATTTTTGATCAGTGAGCCCAGTACCTTTTTTTTTTTAATAAAGATTGAAAGTACCTAATGAGGTGCTTACTTATGTACTCCGTAATTTTTGACTGCGCCTCTTTGAATCATCAATCATCGTACAACAAATAGCACTTGATGAATTACATCCTCCTAGTTGTATTAACATTAACACCTTAAAGAGCTTTAAGATCAGTGAATAACTTGTGATCCTCGCTACCGTTATATTTACATCAATGAAAGCAAAACACCGAGTATAAAACACTTACAACAGGCTGCTCTAATTTAACTTAATCAGTGACATATTTTTACAGTCACTAGTATGAAAGATTGAAAAATGAAAATAGAATAGAAAAAGACTATCTTGTTCTTTGCCTAAAACATGTCAAATTTGTCATAGATAAAGCGTCGATAGCAAGCTGCAACTATACATCATATACAACTAATCGGTCATCAACAATGACTCGGCAAACTGGACATCTTTTGCACTTGTCGCTGCAGACACTGCATCAGGAAAAAGAGGGGGGAGAAGGGAAGGAAAAGAAATCAATTAAATGAATGAAAGATTTGAGCAAAAAAATAGAGAGCAAGAACATGGCATAAGCAAAGAATATACACCTGCAGAGGATCCGATGCCTACAGGGGAGCAGAACAATACTAATATCTCCCTCAAAGCATATTCGGCAGAGAACTTTGTCCTGATTCAAACAGAAAACAATGCTATCAATGCTGAGAAAGAAATTAGATTCACAAGATAAGTATATAATGGTTGAACAAAATGCAAAATCAACATTGTTTAACCTAATTTGAACATCAGTAAACATGATAGAGTAGACAATCTCTTAGAAAGGTGGCATATGGGTTGCTTGGATTGGATTTATTTTGGGATCATTAAAGTTGGGTAAAATTCAGGCTTTCAGTCAATTAGCTTAGTATATCAATTTAACCATATATTCAGTAGCGTTATTTTTCAAGCAGGGTCGGGTCAAATTTGGGTCATTTTTAAATTCCGAGTATGGGTCAGGTTATTTAAATGGGATACAAGTCAATTAAGCCATGACTCATTAATTATATCACACGCATCCTGGTCCACAGGCCAGGATATAATCATCAACCAAATAATGTCAAATGACAGCTACAAGTACCAAAGGCATCTATTTCAAGCATTCAAACCAAAGCACTTAATATGTAAGCAAACAAGCATCAATAATAGGAACAAACACGACCCATTATTTGATTTTCTACGAAACAAACATAAAAACACAAACGTATCATGCATGTACAAAGACAGCTCATATAAGCTTGAGAATCATACATTTTGTAATCTTTCATACTCTTGTTGGCTATTTTTGGTTATTTCAGTCTGCTGAACCAGAGCTGCCTGCAATTTCCAAACCTGAATACAGATAACAGAATTCCAGATTATAACCGAGTTCAACAGAAGAAATAAAATCAAGTCATATATCCACATCAGTTTCCTCAAAAGTTTTGAAGTCAAATGGCCAGTCCATTTCCTAAAAGAAAACTCACCTCCTCAGCCAAGTCCTTCTTTGGCATTTTTTTCACAATCTCAGGTGGAAATTGGCAGAAGGTATTGTACCTGAATACAACAACACAAACAGAAGATTGATTGAAGAGCTAATAAACTATTTTAAAAAATAAATTCTCATAATAATTGATCTTTATATTTTCTGCTATAGTTTATTGATAATGGCTTTTTGACTCTATCCGCAAGTCTATGGGTACTGTTTGCACCCCCACCCCTCTCCCAAATAAAAGGCAATACACCAATACATCCACTATGGAATGGAGGATTTGATACAGAATTTATATGTATTAATGTAGCAACTAGCAAACCTCTGATGCCTGTGGACAGCGGCGGCAGCAGCCTTGGAAATATTCTTCACAAAAAGAGAAGCGACTAAAAATCAACTTAAATGGAACGTAACACTTCAAAATTTTAGCCTAAAGATTGGATGCGAAAGTTATTTAGATACAGGAGCAATGTGAGACTTGGGTACTCCAATCAAGGTAAAGCATCAACATAAATTTTTGGAAGTAGCTACAATCAAGTCCCAGATGCTCCTTTCGAGTTTATGTTCAAATAAAATGACATGATCTCATATGGCAATCTATTCATTGAACACCATATGGAAACAATAGTTACATCGTACCATCCAATTAAATTAAACAATACCCGTAGAACTATCCTTTTCCCTTCATTATCACATAAAAAAGCCTAGAACGCACACCGCTTGGACCTAGGCCTTCAACTTCCTGCTTTGAGATCTTCCAGGTGGCTCAAGCATCCCACAATTAGCCCAAAGCTTGGATTCTACTAGCAGAATGCCACATTGCCACCTTCCAATCAACACATTAATGCAAAAAATCTGTTTTAGGTCTTATGCGCCACATCCAGTACACTCAGTCAAGCCAATTTGAAGCTTCGAATAAGGTAAATCAAGATCTACTAATTGGGGTACTATTGAAATTACAAGCATGATACATTATGCATTGCCTTCTAAAAAATGATTTTTTTTTTTTCCCAGAAATCCTGTAGTAGGACTGTGTAACTGTCTAATATGTTAGGATAAATGAAGTGTACAAAACAAACAAGTGGAAAATAATAGCACATTGCATCAATATATTGGAGGAAAGGTACTAACCTAGAGGCCCCTTCAAGCAAAAGTTTTGCCCGTTCTTCATGACTTCCCTCATCAATGGACCACCAGCCAATTAGCCTATTTTACAACCAAAATGGCAGAAAGAGATTAAAATTCATTTTCCAGATATGCATGATTGTTCAGTAACCAGATACAATGAGCACTATATTAGAATTATCATCACCTTGAGCCATGATGCATAAATGCAAGACAATCACCAAGTTTTGCAGACAAATTAAGATATGGCCCTTGCCCAGCATCACTACGCAGCAAGAGATAGATTTTCTCTACCAGTCTTGACATAGCAAATAAAACCCCAACACCTTGTAAAAGGAACAACGGAGAAAAAAGAACTGGAAAAGGGATATTTTTAGCACCACTAGGAGTTCCCTGCAAAATTAAAAATTAAAAATTAAAAAATAACTAAATTACATTGTTTAATACGTAAGCCAAGGTGCCAAAAATTAGTAGGTTGTTTATTTAATTACACAAGCAAGAAAGACAACAAATCATAAAGAAGTTTACCTCTAAGCGCATGCAAAGGAGGACTTGGAAAGCAATAATTGGTATTTTCATAAAATGGCCACCAATATCGGGCAAACCACACAGGCTCTCCTGATTTTGATCCTGATCTGGACATACAGATGCAGTATTCTCCATGGGGCATGAATTCGTATGTATCATAGGATTGGACCATTTTGTACAAACAAGAAAGGCAAAACACTCGGCAATACTGCGCAAAAAAAGCAGCAACATAAATAACAAAATGAGAAACCAAAATTAATCATCATAGGAAAATTTTTGTAGAAAGAAAAATAGAAGTAATTAAAATGTTAAATACAGGCTGGGCCACCAATCTAATAAACGACCTGATGCATCAGGATGGGCCAAGATCAGCCCCCCATGGTTTCAAAGGCTAGAACAATGTATAAGGCTCAAGGCGCGCCAAGGTGATAAGGATTTTCAGTACATCTCACTGAGGCGCACTTGAAAAAAAGTCAAAAAAAAAAAAAAAAAAAAAAAAAATTTGCTTCCAGCTGCACCTCAGTGAACCTCATCAAAGCGCCCCACCTAGCCAATGGCCCAGGTCGCCTTGCGCTTGCACCTCAGCACCTAGGCACACTTTCTTATACACTGGGTTAGAATGCTCAATAATAACAGCATCAGGTCAGACAGGAAACCCTTGGCAAGAACCTGACCCAAAAGTGGACAGGGCCAACTTCAATAACCTCTTGTTAGAGCTTTCGGTGAAAAGGGGGGGGAAGGGTTTGGCTCATTCAAAAAGATCGACCATGAGAGCAGAAAAACTTTACCCAAAATTGATAAATAAGTCCCACCATCCCAGTGAACCAATGTCACCTGCAAGAATTAAATTTGAAAGAATTAAGAGATACTAAGACATAAATATGAAGAACTAAGTAATTCATACTGCAGACGGAAATCAAAAGATTCAAAACATGATGGAAACTAAAAGCAAATTGAGTACATATTTTCAAGCAGGACAACATTTGAATTCATACAGTAATTGCACATAAATGTCCCCATGCAAATCGATAACCTAGGCAAGTGGTGAGCAAGCAAAAACATTTGTAACATGGAAGAAAATACCGTTATGAGAACTAGAAAGAGTGAGAAAGGCATGCCATAAAAATCTGCAATCTGTCAGACAGTTACTATCTAGACAACAAAGATAATTAAACTCCACCACAAACTAGATAAAAAAATAACACCTTGCGGTTAATTACGGTTTACCAAAGAAAATTTCAAATGCATTTTGTCCAAATGATTATATTCTTTTCCAACCCTGTAAAAATTATCTAATAGTCACGGCAAGTCTGCCAAGCAACACAACCTAGCCTATTATTGTTCAGTCCAAGATAATTTTTTGTCATTCTTTATATACAATTGACATGGATAAATACAAGATATTAATTGTCTTAGGTAATTGGAGAGGAAGGCAGAAAATACGAATGGGATGAGAGGTGAAGTAAAAAAAATGTACTAGTATAAAGGAGGAAACTAGCAATATCGTCATTTAGTCCATTGAACAGAAATGTAGAATTGAGAGACATTATTTGTCTTTAAGCTAATATTAAAGAAATGAAAGGGAAATATACTGATTAGCTTCTTTCTGTTCAAGAATTGTTGATTTGCCTTATCTCCTTTATATTCAAATTCTATACATAGATTAAAAGCAAACCTGGGCTCTTTTTATCTTTTACTTGATTTCCTTTCTCATCAAATCCTGTCAACCAGACATACTGTTAATAACAAAATAGGCTGAATGGCTTGTCCAAAAACAATGGTAAAGTAGTACAAGGTAACGCAGTTCTATAAGATATCAAGGAGTCCAGCCTGTTCGTGAACTACACGAGGTTTGGCTTTGGTAAAATTTCAGTTTGAGCTGGCTCGACTCGGGGTCTTAATGAGACAAGCTTGATCTATACTCGGCTTCAAACCTTGTGAGCAAACTCATTTATTTTTTTTTTTTAAAAAAAATTACCATAAAATTAACTATATACAGTTAGGCCTTGAGTGCTACAATAAACCAGCAAATTTTATATACAATAGCAGTTAGGCTTCGAGCACCAAATCGAGTATATGAGCTTCAAACCCAGCTTCGAGGCAAGGTCAGCCTCATAAACCTCGAATAGTGCTCAATTTTCTAGGTTCAGTCTTGGTTCAGCTCGTTAACTACCTACTAGGCATATTCAAGCCAACTTATACACTAGAAAAGATAAAAGTAACAAAGAAGGTGCTTAAATTGCATGCTACGTCAAATGTTTTTGAAAAGACTTGGCTTTGGCTTTGAGCTTGTATTAGAACCAAAAACCAACTGCACTAAATTGATAAAAATTGAATATCATCAGAGTCAAAAATAAAAATGACTTTGATATCAATTGAACAGCAACTATCAAGTCAAAGACAGAATCAAGTACACCAACTTGATTCTTCCCTTCTTCATAAACCGTATGATTGGAATGGAGGAAATCAATCAATGGGGTAATAAGAATTGAGTATTACATTGTGGAAGGGTGTAGAAGGTGATGGTTGCAAGTATTTCGTGAAAGAAAAATTAGGAGAGAGGCAAGGTAGTATATATTACCGACAAATGAGGGCAATAATTACCAACCCCTACCCTAGGGTAATTGATTTACCCCCATTACTTTATTGTCTATCAAGCACCACCTCATCAATGAAGACCCTATTGGCTATTAGTTTATCACCCATTGAATGATTTCCTTCAAAAATATATATATAAATAGGGGAAGGCTCTCATGAGAACCCCTTCTTTATGTGAGAACTCTTTCATATGTGAGAACAATCTATGTTCTAAACTTTAAATCAAGTGTTCTTAATTTTTACTCTATTGTTTTGAGTCCTAAATCAGATATTCTAAATTTTATTCATACGTTCTAAATTTAATCAGGTTTTTTAAAAATTTTACTCACACGTACTAAATTTAAAATCATATGTTCTAAATATTTACTCAAATGTTCTAAATTTTTACTCATATGTTTAAAATTTTAGATCAGTTCTCATATACGTTGAGTTCTCACATATAGACCTATTGTCATATATATAACTGCATTCCCCAAACTAGGAGAGTTCATCTCATAACTTATTGCTTTTGAAGGCTACTGAAATTTTCAGAAAAGCTTAGATGCACAAACTAAAATATAGCCTAGGCAAAGTAGTAACTACAATGTTTTTAGTTCATATGAATATCAGTTAGAGAATATTAGAAAAGGGCAGGGAGAAAGATTGTACCAGATATTTTTAAGGCGGTGAAAAATGTTGCAGCAAGAAAGAAAACCATGGAGATAGCAACCCAGAAATGCTGCACACAAAATATTAAGGTCGAACCGTTAAGCAACTAAGAAGCAAAGAAAAAGGATCTAATATTTTTCGATAATCAATATCACTTGAAAAATCATTAGAACTAAATCTATATACAGCAATCCTATCTCATGGTTAGGAGAAATTGAATCAACTGTAAGACCACCAATTCAACTTAGATCAACTAATGTTGGGCTATACAGGTGATAACAAATTGTTTTAAAATTTAAAACTGATGTTTATTACTACGTTTGTTCTAAATAAGTTAGGATTTTCGTCGAAAGATTTCCCAAAATCCTGCTTACTAATGTTCTAGTAACAATTATGCTTTTGCCATTCCTAGATATTGTTCAAATACTTTGTTCAGGATGTCCCATAATTAGTTTCCTTGGCATAAAGGGCAAGTCAGAAAGCTTGTCGAATATAACCAAAATAGCTACATTAAAAGATTATATGTCCATTGCCCAAGGAGATGTTGAAAATTGGTACAGAGAGAACAAAACTTACTGGAAGTGTCTCCCATATTGCGTCGTCATTTAAGCTTTCGTCATCTACTGGCATTAAAGCCCTGCACATTCTGTAAAAACCCTTTCACACCTCAGATATAATGCATCAGGTGGAAATGTGGAATAGTCAACAACAAAAGTACATAAGCATAAGGAGCAATCAGACTGTCTATACACATTAGCCAAATATGTAAGTGGTATTAAGTGATTCTTATTCAAGATGTAAAAGATCAATAAAAAGAAAAGAAAATACACTACAATCCAATAAAGGCAAATAATTATTTTGCTTTTTTATCACAAGTACAGAAATAAATCAACTAGGTGCATCTTAGGGAAGTTAGAACGACTTCTTAGAGACCAAGGTAAGAAAAATTCAGCTCCAGAAACAACTGAATCATTATGACATCATAATCATTAAGTTATTTTTCATCTTTTTCCATGAATGGTAGTAAAGCCCTCCTTGTCTCTTATTATGTGACAGGAGCAATATTAATATGTACTATGTTCAAAGTAAATACAATATCAAAACTAGGTATGAGGCACCATGAATCAACTCAAGGTAATCAGTGTTCAGGTTGAAGACAACTGGCACATAATATTGTTAAAGACAACAGACAGATTTACTACAATGTTGAGTGGTATCTCAGCCATCAACATACATCAGTTGAAATAAGGAGCAGACATTTCAGAATTCAGAATCTTTATCCAATACTCCTTTCTCCAAAGATGTATCATAGACACCTATACATAAACAATTCAAATACCATTTTCACATCGAGATCTACGTAGAAAATATATTAAACTGCTATAAAGAATTCTTCTCAACTCTTCCATAAAAGCTGCTCCTTACAGTTGACAAGTCCCTCAAAACAGATCCTTAGATAGTCATACCCCCTCATCAGCAATAAGCAAATTATTTTCAAACATGATAACTGTTTTTTCCAGCATAGATTTTGCTTAGATGGGCTTAATATTGTTGAAAAACACATGACCTAGAATAATAAGTGATTTAGACCTTAAAGTTTTTAGATGCCAGAAGTGGTGACATGTAAAACTTCTAATACTAGGGTGGCTAACGCACGCGATGCTTTCGTCATAGCTAGCCATGCTTAGAGAGCCCTTTCGTTGACAACATTAATGAGGGAAAAAAATATGTAAACAAATATTTTTAGGGGTATAAATGTTCGCATACTGTTCTTATGAGTTCCAAAAAAAGGTAAGAAACATTTAATGAGAGCAAATAAGTACATAAACATTTTAGAGGGTATAATTGTCTAAACACTATTTATAAGAGGTAATCACACAAGGAAAAACTTAGATACAATTAACATAATAGGGGCACATAGATAAACAAACATATTAAGGATATAATTGTCCTCAAACTATTCATAAGTGTTTTCTCATACATTTAAAAGGTAGGGATTATTAGAGTAAATACCTGAAATTGTCAATTAGAATAATTGTTTCAAAAGCCAACAAAGGAAAGAAAACAATCTTCAGGCTCACAGCAGCAGCACCATTAACTGTCACGGAGTCAATATAAAGAGTTACAAGCAAAATCCCTAAATTAGTTGAGGTACTAAATAGTGTAAATACTACATTACCAACCATTGGTGATAACTGCAATCTAATAGAAAAAATAAAAACAAAAATAAAAAAAATAGATCAAACTAACTGCCTACACAATAACACCTACGTATGACATGTCGTGCTATAAACCTCCTTCCTTTGAAAGAAAATAATCAAAATAATGCAAAGACACAGCAAAATTGATGCTAACAAACATACCAGAAAGGCTCTCAAGATATACGCATAAGAGCAATTCAAATGCAATGATCAATGGTGCGGCCACAACAGCATGACAAGGTGCCCACTGTTATTGAAAGGCATACATTAGCTATATGTTAACATAAGCATCAATTTCATAGAAAATGAAAGCACCAGCAGCTTTTCAAAGTATTTGAATCTTGAGATTTGGGAGTTATTATATACATGACGATCATGTGGAACTGAAGGGGCAGGTAAAGAGAACCTTCCACGGGCAACAACAGCATGGAACAGCCATATGGGCAAAAAGACAGTCCTGCAACATAGTGCTCACATATTTAGAATTCAAAAATACTTAAATGCAGCTAAGCCTATGAATGAAACAACTTAAAGAACAAAGATAAAATTGACATCACTTTCCTCTCCTAGTAAATCCTAAATCATTGTACTCACAAAAGGGCAAGTTCACAGGAAATTTGCAAGGAATAAAACCCTACCCCACAAGAGTCATAGGAGAAAGGGTGCCCTTGATACAAACCATATGACATTCTTACAAAATCCTAATACCTCATCATAAATAGAAGAAAATCATGTATAAATAATTTTCAGCTCAAATGATATGACATGCTGTTAGCCTACCTTATGTGACTCCACTACCACTGATGTCTTCTGCCTTTACTATCTACACTATTACAATGCCTTTCATATCCAAACAAAGTAATTTGGCCTCTATAAGACCTAAGATCATGAGAACTAGAATCTCATCATTCTTAAAATCAACAAAAGCAAAGTAGCACTCTTACATGCAGCATGCATTGCAATTTTGAGCAATGAGTATAACTTCAGTTATTTCCTTATACTAGGGAGGTAGGCCAAAAGCCCATTTCTCTTCTATTTTTTTGTCTTTATCATTGATTGCTTACCATACTCTGATAATGCAAAATCTTTACTACAAGGTTATATAGTTCAGATGTTGCGGAACTGCTTTTGAAATTACAGATGATTTGCAGCTGTCGCAGCCTAATATAATCACAATTACAGTACACTCTAAACCTTTACAAAGCAGTTGCAATGTGTTAATGCAACTGAGATCTAATTTCTTTAAAGAGGAGCATGACGGTCTCAAAACTTATATAGCACCACCTAAAGAGGTTTCTGTAATCTACCTATCCTCTGAAAAGAGATCTGATTTCTTTTGGCTGTTCTCCTAATTTAGTTATAACAATGAAGACCAAACCTTCAAGGCTTCAACTTTAGATTTTTCTGGTATGTACCTCATGAATCCATGATATCTCTATCCTGCTTTTGAACCCAAACACACGATTCAAAAGTGCAAACCAGTAGAATACTTCAATGATGAAAAAATGTTATATCTGAGGACATTGAGCTACTTGTTTGTAGCCTATCTAGAAATTCACAACCATTTGATTCCCCTATTTCAATTACTAGAAAAATCACTTGGACAAGTTCCCATCTTTCCTTCAAGTCAACTTAAAAAAGTATAAGCAATACATTCATACATGCAAGGAATTCAGTCAAAAAACAATTAATACTCATTCCTCAAACAATTTTTTCATATTACTATCGAGTATGTACCCGTCTTCAATGTTCGACCAATCGACCACACAAAATAAGTGATGCCAAGAAATTTTTAACATCAACTAAAGAAAAACTTGGCCGCCACCAGCACCAACCCCTTTTCACCCTCCCAACCTAGTGCAATTATAAGCGAAGGAAAACAAATGTAGAAACTGTGGTCAACTCTAAGACTTCTGCCCACACTCCACAACAATAGAAATCAATTCCTTGTCTCATAATGAAGGATTCTCTAAATTTGGCAAAATTCAAACATTATTTTGTTTCAAGTTGCCAACTTTCTGCAGACCCACAAAATTCTTTGACAACTTGACAAGTATGACATCATAAATAAAGCTACCTGAATAAAACTTATACCAAAAATTCAAACCCTTTAAATGGAAATTCAAAAATCCCATTTGGATTCATCATACTATAAAGCATTCTAAACAACAGAAAATACCCATTTCAGGGAAAAAACAGCAAAATTCAAACAAAAATGATTGGTTCAATTACATATTGAACAAGAAAACCCCACAAAAATCAAAGCATGATTGCAAATTGACATCTTATAGTCTAAAAAAAATACTATTGCAAACAATTAAACCAAAAAAAATACGAACTTTCCCAATTATCATATCATAAAAGTGGTAAAAACATAAAATTAAACAAAAAAAAAAAAAAACGAACCACCAAGAAAAAGAGGAAGGATGATCAAGCTTGAGAACAAGCAAAAGGGTGAAAGTGAAAAGCAAGCCATGCGCAGCCAACCCTTGTGAAGACTGCGCCACTTTTCTCCAGCTCATCGCATGCCTTCTTCCTCTCATATTTTCACTATTTTAATTTCAGAAATTTCACTGAAAATTCAGGAAATTCACTAAAAAAAAGTTGGGGTTTTAATTTTTGAGAATTTTGCATGGATTTTTTTAGGGGAGAAAGGGAATTTGTGGGTTTTTGAGAGAGAAATCGAGAGTTTTTAGAGAGAGAATGAGGGGAGTTACAGTAGGCGCCATTGATGAGTGAGCAGATGTTTGAGAAAATTGATTGCCATAAATTAAACCAGACGAATTTTGTGCCTTCTTGTAAAAATTTATTTATTTATTTTATTTTTAATTTTGAAAGTATCTTGAAAAGTTTGTTGCTTCTTTCATTAAAAAGTGACCCAATAATTTCATGGAAAAAAAAACAATATTTTTTAATTTAGAAAAAAATAAAAATCTGGTAAAAAAGAAAAGGAAAATTGAGTACCAATTGATGGAAATCTCTTGTGAAAATATAATAATTAGTACTAGTTGATATTTTATGATTATGACATCCAATTCTATATTGAATGAGTACAGTAAATGTAACATCATCAAATGATATTTTTTTTAATGTTTATAAAATAGGGTCATCAATTGAATCTTAGCCTACTTGCTTATCAAGATAATATTTGGACATGGACAATGTTAAATTTATATAAAATATCATTATTAGCTCATCGGTTTTTAAATGTTTTTCTGTTTAAAAATTGATCATATAGGTTCTTTTTAGATTTTTCAATGACTTTTAGATGAGTAGTTTTCATATTTTATAATATATATTGCATTGTTGGTAAATGTGCAAAAAGCAACTAGAACAAACAAAAAACTGAGCAGATAAATAAACTCCTTTTGTTTCAAAATAATCTTCTCACTTTTTCAACCTAATCAATGGACAGGCCGTACCATGGCATAAAAAATTTGTCCATTTCTTGAGTCGGGCCTAGCTTTGGGCCAAATTTCCCATGCCAAAACCTGCCCAAAATGGCCGGGTCGTGTGGGCTTTTCTGGATGGATCAAAAAAAGAACTTAAATAGCGTAAAAAATTTAAAATCGGGCCGAGCTGGGCCCGACCTGATTTTGGACAGAGAAATGCTGCTCAAACCTGCCCAAAATCAGGTTGGGCCAACGGGCCATGCTAGTTTTTATCAACTCTCAGTTAATTAGCTAGCCATTGAAGTTTAAACTAGCTAAAATGACAATCAGCTTAAAAGTTAATGTGGCATGGCAAGGTTATTATTGCATTTACCCTCTTTTACGTGAGAAAGAAAGATTAAAAAAATGACCATTGCAATTAATAAAACGTATGGATTTTTAGTTTTATTCATACTTTAATTTCAGAGCTATCAACAAGTCGTAGCTTAAATAATTTAATTTGGCATGTCACTTAGCACGTAAATTGAGAATTTATACACTACATATAACTTATTACTTTATTTTCAATATACTAACCAAACAAAATTATCTCCTTTTATTTGAATTATTTTTTGTCTAAGAAGGTGAAAATTTACGGCAGCTCCATAACATCCATTCAATTTTCAACAATTTCTTTAGTTGATATTTAACTATTTTACATAACCTAATTACAGAGTTCTTACCCTTCTCATTGACAAATGACAATTATTTCTTGAGCTTACATAAGAGAAAGGGAAATATAAAAATGAATAACTTACGCAATAATCATTTACATTAAAATTCATCATGCGCCTTTTTCCAAATTGTAAATAAATTTAGATATGATATGTAAGTTAACAAAGAGTTTATCAAAACTGACCTGCTAGCTAACCCAATCTGAAAATTGTTTGGGGCAAGGCAAAAATTTTGAGCCCAAAATCCAAGGTCGATTCGTCCTGGTCCGATTCTATTTTTTCATTTTAGGCAACCTAAAATTTCCTTTTTAGTGGAGTATTATTTTGGTTCGGCCTAAAAATCAATTAGTATTAGATGGTCTCAAGACTAGTTACGATTTTGTACTCCCCGGCAAAAGCGACGCGTATTAAAAACGGCCAGAAAATCCATTATTCATGTTTCACCACTTCTTAGTTAGAATTTAAATATACATTTCATATTATATACCATAATTTTAAAGCTTCTACCTTCCTTTAATTTTAATGAATAATCAAATATTTGTATTCAACTTAAATATGTGAGAAAGAGAAGATAAAATAATTGACCATTGCAAGAAATAATTTCATTCGTTAAAAATCCATGTATCTTACTCCCCTTTAACTGTGTTTTATATATACTTTATTTAGATTTTTGCTAAAACTAAATTTGCTGAATATAACTTATTTTTGTTTTTTTTTTTATTCACTACATAGTATCATATGTTTTTCTTTGAATCTATTGATTTTTATAAGATGATAACTTTATTTACTAAATTTAGCTTTTTTTTGTTAAACTTAACATATTTTCTCTAAAATATAGTTATATTTTCTAAGCTTAAATAATTTTTCTTGAATATTGTTTGAAGGTGTAAAGAATAAGATTTAAGCAGAATTAAGTTAACATATTTGATTTTTTTAGCAATAATAAGTTTCTTTGCAATAAGAAAAAGGCAAATTCTCAAAAATAAAAAAATTAAAATAAAAAAATTAATTAGAATACTTATTAGACCATATTCACCTTACAAAAATAATATTCACATTTTTCATTGAAAGGAAGTTAGTACCTTTTCTCGAAAAAAAAGGTTACTACCTCCGTTTTTTTTATTTTTTAGTTGACACGTAGGGATGTCAATGGGGCGGGTCGGGGCGGATGTTGGCCTTCCATCCCCATCTAAAATTTTCATCCCCATCCTTGTCCCCATCCCCACGGTGGGTCCAAAATTCATCCCCATCCCCGCTCCGGCGAGTACAATTCCAAAACCATCCTCACCCCACCCCCTACTTGGATATCCATCCCCACTTAATCCCTACCGACCTAAGACCCGCCTAATCTCCACCTCCCAGTACACAATCCAACATATTTAATACTACGTATAAATTACAACAAATAAAATTATTATTATATTATTACGCACTTTTTTTAGTTATAAAATTAGTGTATTACAAATTATTATATCTACTATTTTACTTTACATATTTTTTTATATATAAAATAGTATAAAAGTATATAATTTTGTTTTATAAAATATATAGAAGTGGGTGTGAGGTGGGGATAAGGCGGGTACGAAGTGGGGCGGGTGGAGCGGGGCGGGGATGGGACGGGTACAATGTAAAATCCACCCCCGCCCCATCACCCATGGTGGGTATGATTTTTGGGTACAATGTAAAATCCACCCTCGCCCCATCACCCACGGTGAGTATGATTTTTATCCCCATCCCCGTCCCACCACCCACCAAACCAAGACCCATCCCGCCATCCCCACCCTACTGGGGCGGGGATGTGGCGGGTCTCTTACTTGACCCGCCCCACTGACATCCCTATTGACATGTTTTGATTTTAGCATTATTTATACATCTCCTTTAACTGTGTTTTATACTTTATACGTAGTGAAAAATATATTCATGTGACTATGTGAGATCTTATTAGATTCGTCACGATATATATTTTTAATATATCAAATTTTAATAATTTTTGCTTATGGGTAATTACAGATATAATGGTTAAGGGCATCTTCTCTTCAGCTTAATTTCAGTTCAGTTCAGTTCCAATCAGTTTAGTTTAGATTACTTCAGTTCCTAATTTCCTTTTCTCATAAACAATTCAGTTCAACTCAGTTTGGTAAATCAGAACATGCCTAAAAATTACGCATTGACAATAGTGACTAAAGAAGCATGTCAACTAAAAACAAACGAAAGAAGTATAATATAGTGAAATTATTTTATGTAATGAAAATAAGTTTTAATCAACGAAAGTAACCTTATAAAACAACTACTAAGGGCACTAGGAAATCATTAAAATACAAAATTATTACTTGAATATTTTCTTTTTGAGGGGCAAGATTAAAAATCATTAATAATAAGCCATACGACACTTACATAAGAAATCGTAATCGAACATTACTAAGACAATTGAACCAATTACAAGTTTGAAATAAAATAAACTACAATTGCACGCGCAAATCGACTTCCTGAAATACCCTTGTCTCATATAACGTTGTTCTATGCAGCCTCTTGCAAGGGGGTCTGGCAATAAGTTGTAGTTTCTGACGTGAACCTTAATTGACTCAGAAGCCTGTACTCCTCGACCTGAATTCAAATTTGGTGTCGTACAATTTATCATTGACAAAACAATCTCCGATTCAAACACGGATTTCGGCTTGGAAGCATAACCCTTCAGCCCAAACCAAAAGAAGATCAAATCAAAGCCCCAAAGCCAAAAAACCCGGCTCAAATCCTGCACCAGAAGATCGGCACACCGATCTGCACTCCCCATAGCACACAAACGCACCACACAAAAAGAAAAAATAACAAACCCAAATAAACCACACACACAAACAAAGAAAAAAAAGACCCAAAGACCGCACACACTACTAATAGAAAAAACAGAAGGAAACCTAAAATTTTACTTGAATATAGTAAAAGATATTTTCGATAAGTAAAAATTGATTCTAAACTAAAAATTTCTTTATTTTTTATTATGAAAAAATATGATTTAAAAACATAACTCGACTAATTATCAAAACCCACCAGAGAATTTCAACTGTATAGGAATCTTATTAAATATTATTTGATAGATGCGTAACACTTTAACTTGATTAACGAATCTCAATGAAAAAGTATAATGTTGGTTTAGTCCTATTACTCCTATATGTATGTTGTTAATACATGGAAGTTGACATACTTCATATATATATTTTTTAATCTTTTCGTTTGTGAATTTGGCCTAACAATTTTGAGTAGTGGGTAGGATGAATTATTTGATTTTTTGTTTTGTTTTTGGTATTATACTTTTATGCAAATCTTGTCCAAGGAATCAAATCTTGTAATATAATGTTATTGTTTTACAATTTTTATTTCGGGTAGACGGTAGGCCTAACAATTGTAAAGCTCAAAATAGAAAAAACATATAAATGCAAGATTTAAAGTACATTTTATCAGCACCCAAACCTAAATATTTCACCAACCTATTCAATAAACGTCTTAAAAATATTAAAGAATTTGTCAAATAAAAAAAATTATAAAAACGAATTTTGCTAACTTTATGATATTCATTATATAATTAGTTCTATGTTGTACAATGTACATGATATAACCTCACTCGTTTTCTTTACTCATTTGCCGTGCTTAAGGCCTTGTTCTCATCAGGTTATTTTCATTTCAGTTCAATTCATCTCCTAATTTTCTTCTCTCATAAGATATTCAATTCCGTTCAGTTCAGATCTAATAAGTTCAGTTCAATTCAGTTTATTTCATTTTCAATCTAGTTCAGTCAAT